TTATTTACAGCTACAGTGGAATCAAATGAGTCAAACGCCAGAATGAATTTTGGATACGTATAATTCATATACTCGTTGATCTAGGCGAATAGTCGGAGGAACAAAATTGATAGACAGACCGAAGAAGGAAAACATTCTGAACCATATTGAAAAAGCATGACTTGATATTTGTAATCAGACAAAAATAAAGAAATGTGATAAATAAGGTGAGCGATACACACACACGCTCATATAAAAACAGTCAAGTTTAATGTAAAAATAATAGACAGGATTAAAATGTGACTCAAGAAGTGTGAATATATCGGTCTATCCAGAAGCTAAAATAACCTGTAGATCATTACCGTGGATGATCTGTATCGAACGATTAGGGGCCTACTCAAGTTAGACGGAAACTGTGTGAACAACCAGATAACATCTTAGACACACCTCACGGTCATTGCTCAGAGTGGATTACCCTTTCGTCGTGTCAAGTTACTATTGCTACGCTAATGACTGAACGATACAAACGACGTCATTACAGAAATATATTAGTAAGACATGGTACAGGGAACAGAGTGGGATCACCTCTGCATGAGCCAGTTCATGCAGTGTAAATAACTGACGTGCGTTGGTTGTCCTTGACCTTGACGAAGATCCATGAACTGTTCGACATTCAGTGACCCGACTGTTGAATTGTTTGGCTAGGACCCAGTGACATTTAACTGGAACCACAAACCCATGCGAGTTTGACAGTATCGAACACTGCAAGGTTTTAGCATCTCCACGACTAGATGCTCTATATAGTGACAGGAGATTTTTAAAATCTTTGATGGCTTAGCCACGGTAGTGTACAGTGTTTCTCAAGTCTTAATTAACAATGGCACTTAGGTCATTGTGTTTCTGGACAATATGTCCCTCATTATATATGAAAAGTGTATTTGAAATGGTCTCAGTTATTGAAATTTAAATAATTTCAATGTTCCGTCCAGCAAACTTGTCCAGACTGCTGAAAAAAACGTTGAAATTATTTAAACGTCAATCGCTGAGATCCTCCGTAAAATTCGTGTTTTGGTGTCTGCATCTACTGCAGATTGTAACCCACAGACAAAAACAAAGCATTTAGACTGATCTGAGGACATTTACTGTAGCCAGAAGCGCTCACATTCGTTGTTTACAATGCTGGCATACGTCACAAAATCGTTCTGTAACCCTTTTACACGCTAGAGACAGCGACATCCAATGTGAAAATTGATGGGTGTTCTCCAAATATGCTTGTAGGGCATTCTACTGTTTCTTTAAAGGTTATGTCAGCTGGCCTCTTTGGGAATATAAGATTACATAACTTTTCATGATCAGAGACTCTGAGCTTCCGTAGTAATAATCTTCAGTACCAGACCTTTGTCCCATTTTTCACAATTATCAATAAACAGATCCTCATGGCGCTCCAACCACGCCTTGAAAGTAATTCCATTTTCTGGATCAAATCTAAATTCGTTTATTGAATTCGCAGTAGAATCCGAAGTCATAGTGGAGTTAGGTGTATTCTTGATCAGTAATTCAATGAAAGCATTTTGATGTTACAATAAAGGTTTCAGATCGTTCATTTTATTGTTACGAAATCCACTTCAACTGAGTATATAGGCGTAGATCCGCTTTAACCACCGTAGCCAATGTTATAACTCTCGGTTATTCCCGTCTGCAAAAATGGGACTTTAGTTCATCCTAGACGAATATCTACACTACATACCCTTTCACTATCTATTTCACAGAACTTCAGCACAACTCAGGTCAAAAGCACGTGACTAACCTGACTACAACGTAGGTATATTTGGTTATAAAAAATCGACAACAATCGCAGTAACAAATGGGGTGGGCAAATATATAACTCTTCTAATACCTGTCAGGCTATCCGCTAGTCTGACTAAGCAAACAACCAATTGTCTTATTCGCCCACACACTCTTGAGTTTTAAAAATACAGTTTTCTCTACCTTTCGCTTTCAAGGTTTTATTCTGGCTTCAGCACACGCCTTACTTTAAATAATCATTTGGAAAGCAATAACTAGAACTGCAGGATCACTCTTAGCCGGTTGTTACTCAATTAGTTTACATTCAAGACTTCCTTGCGTTTTGACTCTCGCATGTATACTCTGTTTCTACGATCTTGTGGAAAACCCTGTGAAGCGTATACAGTTAGTTTACTTACTTCTTTCCCAGACGGAAGACTTAAACAGTGCAACACAAAGCACGTGATCCAGAACGGTCGCTACAGCTCTGACTTACCACAATTTATTTTGTGAAGTCGGTAATCCCCATCGCCAAATTTACATTTTATTCCATGATGTGTATGGTGACTAACTTTTCACAGTAGCATAAAATCAGGGCAGACTGGTTTATAAAGACTACATTCAACTAATTTCTGATTCCTTTGATTTCAATGAACGACGGTTTCAACCTACAAAGTGATCATGAATTTTTTTCATTCCCAGATGCGGTTGGCCTCCATGAAACTTGACTATCCAAATTCATAAAGCCAAGATGTCAAAAACTAGGAATCTACGTTACACGTGTTCAGCTGTTTGATTTCTACGGGGGATCTCTTTAGTAGTGTTCCTTTCGATCACACAAATCATCAAGGACCCGTAATATTTTCTTTCTCACCTCATTACAGTCGTTATAAAAACTTACACTTTAATCACTTTTAAAGGTGAACGAATATAAAGTGGGTTGTTTATTAAATCGATTTCGTAAGAACGGAATTAAACTTCTGTATCAAATGAATACTTACTAACAGTTCGCGTCTTAAAAAGGGTAGCAATTTTCAAACTTGTTGTTGAGGGAGCAACGCAGTATGAAGGGTGGTACAATTAGTTTCATATGTTATGTATTCGTTTCCGAAATTCGATAAACTTGTGATGAGCTTATATAAACCGACCAAATATTACGCGCTCACTTTTTTTACTCGAAACCGTTTCAGGTCTTTGGTTTTGGATGAAAACTACCAGATTCAAGAGGTGCTTGAAATCCGGCTTCCATTGAGTCTAGGTATTTGACTGTCCAAGGAACGCATTGACAACCTCATTAGTTTTACTGCACACACAGTAGCCGAATGAGCCAGATCACTCATTCACACCAGATCACGGTTGAACACATTGTCCTACTCATCCATCTCAACAACCGACCAGCTGAGACCACATACTTCTCAACACATCGAACACCTTTCATACATACTTTTGAACTTCTCCATTCCTGACTTTTGGTTTGACTGAATGGGTATTTTTCGATTATTAAGGTGTTACGGACAAAAGCGTTGTTTAGTGGAGTCCCCCAAGGTACAGTTTTGGGGCCAGTGTTATTCCTCCTGTACGTAAATGATCTCCCTCGTCTACTATCGTCATCGGTCTTACTCTATGCTGATGATGTCAAGATATGGAGAGCGATACAAAGCAAGAGCGATAGCTTAGAACTTCAAAATGACCTGGAGAGATTATCTGAATGGTCCCAAACCTGGCAATTGCCGATAAACACTTCCAAGTGTATTGTGATGCATATTGGCCATCAGGGTACAGATACATACACGATGAATAACACTGAGTTACCTATTGTTCAGGCACACAATGACTTAGGCGTCATCGTTAGTCAAGACTTAAAGACTACTGCACACTGCCGTGCAATAGCCGTCAAAGGTTTTAGGACTTTATGGTCCATACGCAGGGCTTTTAGGCATCTTGACGCTAAAACGTTTCTGACTTTGTATACAGTGTTCGTACGCCCTAAACTTGAGTACTGTATACAAGCAGCTAACCCCTGCCTAAAAAAAGACAGTGAACTCTTGGAAAGAGTTCAGAGAACAGCAACTAGGCTGATTCCCGGAATAGCGAAGCTCCCGTATGGTACTAGACTGACCAAGCTAAACCTATTCCCGCTGTCATATAGAAGAATCAGAGGTGACTTGATTATAGTTTTCAAATTGCTAAATGACAAATTTGCACCTGATATGCCCTCATTTTTCTTGTCTTCCAAAACAGAAAATCTACGAGGACACTCCAAAAAAGTTCACAAGCCCAGAACGAATTACTTGTCAGCTGACTACCGACTTTCCCATCGAATAATCAACGAGTGGAATTCATTACCTCAGCACGTGGTTGAGGCTCCATCCGTCGACTCCTTCAAAAGAAAGTTGGATCAGCTGAGAGACCATCATTGCCAGGACTAACACAGGCCACCAAGCCTCCTGTCCTTTCCAAACTGAAACTGAAACTGAAACCCCCAATATTCGTAACATCTTTATTCAGTACAAGGTATATTTCACATGAAAAATAAAAAAACCTAACTTCACATTGTGCGGAATGAAGACCCCAAGGTTTGTAATTCAGGTTGATGGGGTTTGCAAGGCAAGTATATTTCTGGTGAACTGGAATTCACCAAAATCAGGTCTGGTTAGAACGGATCTAGAGGTGAGAATTCCTAAACATATGCCCTGGTAGTCCATCATAAACTATGAGATCTTACAGACTTAGGAAAAGCGACGAAATTAGCGTCGTTATTCACCCACACAAAGGACATTACTGCCATTTTCCAGACATGTACGAAAAATCAGCGGATCTCAATGCATACTTGAATATCATGGATGGCCCGATGACAGGATAATATTTATTACTATGTGCTTTCATAATGCGATAGGGCTGTAGCTTAGGATTATGAACTAAGTAATCAAGATGTAATCCGTAAATAGCGAATTTGAATTTAGCAGTATATAATTGTATTGTGATACTATGACGGACTGGAAGAAATGAAAATAAATCGTTCAACATGAATGACAATTGCAATAATCATCCGCCTTAGGGGCACAATCAGTGACGATCTAATCATGAACATTTGAAAGATTAAATGTATCTGCAACCGAATAAGACGTTTATAAAAATCAACTATTAGGGATCTATGCTGAGTTCTGGCGCGGCTTTCAAATGATAACCGTTTGTAGTCTGTTGGCATAGTCGTTTGGCGTTGTAGCGTTTGCATAATGGTTCACACACGTGGTCATCATGCATCAAACTCTGTGAGCGATTGTCTTATGTTCGAAGATTCAATGTTTTAGCAAGTTTTTACTGTACATAAATATAAATAGTAAGGGTGTATTCACTTGGTTTTTAATTGTTTATTGCTGATTATGGTCAGTAACCTCTCTCAGCTCATATTTTATTGTATCAGTGGAAATCTATGGGCACGAATAAAGTATAACCACTATGGAACAAGTACACAACTTTGCATTGATTTCAGAATTATCCTGAAAGTACATAATTAGTTCATGCCGTATCGTGTATATAACGTATAGGTTCATATCTGTTATAGATTTGTTATATTAGCCCATAAAAACATATATTCTACTGATAAAATGCTCTATCGACATTTCGGGCCTGAGTTATAGGGACCGCGTTACGATCTGTCCTTCAGTGAAACTGTATCTCATTTTCTCAAATCGCATCATCAACGCCTAGTCTTTTCTTATACCACTGAATCTGTTATTATCTTTACTACTCTGGAGCTTCCTTTAATAGTTTTATCTCGTGCTTATAAGGTATGGCAACTTGGACCGATGTACATGTATCAGGCCCTACTTTGCGACTGGCTTTTATCTCATGCTTTCCCACCTTTAGCCAGTAAGGTATGCAGGTGCAAACAGATTGTGGAGATGACTGCTGATTTGAATTTCAGTGTAGTAATGAAAATATTTGTCTAGGCCTGTCGATAGCAACAATTTTCTCAAAATATGTTGGTAAAAATATTGGGATTGTATTGTCCGTATCCTATTTAATAGCATACAACCATTGTCTAGTTACCTGACCTTTGATGTAATATACACAGCACAGTTATCTTGTCGCGTTCGAAAATATCTTAAGACCTTTGCAAGCGCTCTTTACAACTTTCTGGCAAATCGTATTCCCACATGTAAAGTGGTCAGTCAGTCAGTCAGCTACAACGTATGACCAGGCACATATATGCATCGGTCCAAGTTGCCATACCTCGTTAGCACAACAAGATAACGGATTCATAGAAGTAATTAATTTAGTGGTGGCAGTATATAAAGAAAGGTTGTATATAAGGATATAGTATAGGAAGGAAAAAAGTTATAAAGCAATTTTAGTCTCAAGGATTAAGGGAAGATAAAGAGTGTATACACCTACGCCATTGTGATCGATTCTGAGCCATGTCAGCCAGAGTCTCCAACCATTGGTTACAATAGTCACGCGGACCCCAACCAGGTAGTCTGTATATGCCAACATGGCTCAGACTAGAAGTTAGTGACTTCAAGCACTGATGCCATGTTTTGGTTTAGCCGCCCCTAACTCACTTCCAACCATCCCCAATACTAGTCATCATAGAGCGTCGTGGTAATCGGTGTTCAGGCATATGTAACACGTGGCCCAACCATCTCAGTCGATGAAGATTCATGACCTCATCAACTGATTTACCATCATTCCCTAATACCCTAACCTCTATTACTTACCCGGTTATCCCAGCAGATGAAAGCAATATTTCTAAGGCATCTGTGTTCAAATACTAGTAACTTACGAGTATCTTCTACTCTTAATGGCCACGTTTCGCAGCCGTAAAGTAGAACAGAGCGAACTGCTGCGCAGTATACTCGTCCCTTAATTGATAGACGGATATCTCATCTTCGCTATAGGTGACGTAAGTTGGCAAAAGTCAAACGAGCTTTTTGAATCCGTGCTGGGGCTGATCAGACTTCCAAGATAAGTGAAGTTGTCGACGCATTCAACTACTTCACTCCCTATCCTTAGTTCGGGTGTTGACGCAGGCCAGTCCTGGAGTAACAATTTACATTTGGATGGGGAGAAACGCATCCCAAACATCCTGGCATTATTACTCAGTTCTAACAGAAGACTCTGCATTTTGTCAGCGTCTTCACCAAACAGGACTATGTCATCTGCGTATTCTAAGTCGATAAGTGAACCTCCTGGTAGAAGATCAATTCCTGAAAATTCAGTCGAAGAGAGTGTTATTTTCAGCAACAGGTCTATAATGAAGTTAAACAAAAATAGGGGTTGTGGACAGCCTTGACGGACACCACTTGAGGTTGTAAAATCATATGACAGTTCGCCATAAGCTCTCACTCGACTGGTAGTGTTCGAGTAAAGAGCCTTCACAAGGTTTATGTACTTCTCAGGTACACCTTTCAGTGACAGACACTACCACAGAACCTCTCGGTCTACAGAGTCAAATGCTGCTTTCAAGTCAAGAAAAACTATCATTGTCGGACGCCGATAAGCATGTCTGTGCTCTAAAACTTGACGAATGGTGAATATGTGGTCGATACAGCCACGACCAGGTCTAAAGCCAGCCTGATTTTCTCGTGTTTGCAGTTCACGAGTGTTAATTAGGCGCCCGATAATTATTGAGGCTAGTATTTTAGATGCTATATTAGTTAAACTAATCCCTCTATGGTTATCACAGGATGATTTTGGCCCCTTCTTATATATTGGGACAATCAGAGATTGTGACCAGTCAGATGGGATTACGTCCGTCTCCCAGATTTTAGCCAGAATATTAGTCAACCTAATCGCTAAAATCGGACCACCATATTTAAAGACCTCTGGAGCCAATCCATCTGGACCAGCTGCTCTTCCTCGTTTTAGATTACTTATAGCCTTTTGAACTTCAAGTAGGGTCGGGGGGCCTACTTCAATGTTCCATTCAGGTTTTCTGGGGATAGTGGGTAGTTGTGCAGTAGCTGAAGGCCAGCTAAACTGCTCCTTAAAGTGTTCCGCCCATCGTTCTAAACGTTTGGATTGAGAGCAGATAAGGGTTCCGTCTTTTTCCGAGATTGTCTCACTTACAGTTGACTTAATTCCAGTTTCTTTTATTAGTCTGAATAGTTGCCTGGTGTTGCCTACAGCCGCTGCCTTTTCCATCTCTTTTGCTTTCGTTGCCCACCACTGCTCACGATCATTCTTTAGGCTTTTAGTTAACCTAGATCTAATTTGTTTACGCTCTTCGTCGTGTTCAGAGCTGTTAGTGGGACATAGATTGGATTAAAGCATGTTTTATGCATGATGGTGTTGCTGCGCGCTGATTGGCTAATTCTAAACCGATCAGCCCGGGCATATTATTGGAGAAAAATTTAGAAGCTTCTTATGTATATGCTATAAATATAGGAACGTTATTCAAATCAGTGATTGCTGTTCACATACCATTGTTATTTGTGAATACAATTTCATTCCTGTTCAACGTGTTCTGATTTTGGGGTCTTGTTGAGTGTCATCGTATAAGAATATTAAGCAATAGGAATAGCTGGGTCGTTTATATAGCAAAACACAATTATAACAAGAGCCTGATGGGATGAGTTTACGCGAATCCATCAGTGGAATAGACTTAGAAAAAATCCACCGGTTTTTTTGAGCCTTATGGTTTAAATAAGGAATAGATGTTACTGCTGTTTCCACAGCTGTTCGTGTGTCTTTCCAAGCAGCATCTGGGTCAGTCTCGTTTACAGAACTGCCTAGATGTGAACTCAGTTGTTTCTGGAATTCGCATTTGGCTTTTTCGTCCTCCAGTTCAATCCTAATGGGTCTTCTTAGTGTACTTTTCCTGCGTCCATTGAAGCGCAGACAAATGCGCGCTCGTATTAAAGCGTGATCAGAGTCTAAACAAGTATTCCAATACGAGTGACAATCTTCTATTGAGCCTCTCCAACGATGACTGATGACAATATGCTCTATTTGAGTCCATCGTTGGTTTGGTGCAGGTGGTCGCCTTGTTAGACGATGTCTCTCCTTATGCTTAAAATTAGTGCTTGCTAAAAATAAACGATTGTCTGAGCATAGTTGCAACAGACGATCACCATTATCGGTTCGTTGAGCCGGAATACTAAAACACCCACCTAAATTTCTTTCTGTTTGATTTAAGCTGCCTACCTGGGCATTAAAGTCACCCGCTATGAGTACTATGTCTGAACGCTTAGCTTTCTGAAGAAGCTCAGAGAGCTTTCTATAAAAGTCATCTTTCACTTCATCATGGTTGCAGTCAGTGGGAGCGTAGGCAGAAACGACGAAAAGGCAACGACGCGTGTCCCTATCCTTCCGAATTTGGTTCACTAATGCCTTTAAGTATTTTCAAGCTATCAGCATGCATCTGTATTAAAAATATAAATGAACCTCGGGAATTACTGACAGTGATTGTGCATAATATATGGTTATGTATCAAATTATGAGATCTCATCCAACATAGTAGGTCATTAAAGGTTAACAGCTGTAACATTAACGTTTGTTTGTGATAAGTTCATAGCTGCATCAACATGTTCCCTTTATACTATCTATTAGTTCCTGGTATCACCAGTATACATCAATAAACAAGAAAATCTACAGTGGTGATAAGAGTGACGGTGAGATACGTCTGTGTCAACTGAATTATCTTTGAACCCATTCATTTGAAGATGATTGTTATTCAGCATACACTACACGTTTCCTATCCACCTTCAGCTTGTTTAAACTTGCTAACTTAATACATTTATTAGGAATCCGATGTCCACTGTGATATCTCAGTGCATAAGAAACTTAACTGTCGTAATTCAAGTCTATTATATGTTCACTATGATTATATTTCACAAATAATAGAGGTTGTGTACCGGTAATTAATATCATTGTCCACCGTCGAGATCATGAATAAACGACTCAGTATTTGAGTACAGGCTTGTATATTACGATAGGAAACTGCTACGACCACTGATTCTACTAATCATGGTAAACTTGTCTCTCTGTGCTTAAATAATTTTGGAACTTTAACTCATGCACATTAGTACCAGGTCTATATTTTACTCATAACTGACGGATTGACTTATATGAACCACACTTACGAGATCTGTCAATGTTATTTTGCCAATCATACTACAGTTAACAAAAAGGCTTGAATTTATGAATGATTGGATGAAGACCATGTAGAGTACTAATGCAGCATACATTCTTAAGTTGTAAAAGGTCGAATATGGTGAATAACGGGTGCCAAAAAAATAAGTGAATTCTCTGTGGGTAATATACACAAAATCTTGTATGGATTCTTGTATATGATATGTGCTAGCAGTTGCGAAAGCTCTGTCTGTACGTTTTGAATTGATATAAACCGTCTTAATTCCAGTTACACCTTACTTTTCTTCACCACTTTATACCTAGATGTATTTACTTTTTCGATATTAGCTGGTGCCTTTATCCATTACCGTACACTAAATTAGGCTTGAAAGTAATTTTTAAAAGTCACTAATTTCACACAAGTTCGTGTTTGGAAAATTTCTAATTTGACAGGTCACATCCGAAATCCTGGTTAGTAATAATGATGATCTGTTACCAACAACTTCGGATTATCCTATCTCATCAAATCGTTCCCGAAAACCATTTACAAAGAAAGAAAGCCTTGCTATACTGAATTATATTCAAGATAATAACTTACTGTCGTAAGTTTCCCTTATTTAAAAGTCATAATAGGCAGAAATGAGTTATATAATCCTAGAAATGTTACTATTATTTAATTTATTAGTTCTCTTGGTGTTGGATATACAGAAAGGTATCCCAAATCAGCACGGATGTGATTCTCTCTTTAACTGTCTATTTATGGTTATTTGTTTCGTAATCTAATCGAGCTACGTATACTTGAATTCCTTTTTGTAAAATTAATATAATGCCAGGATGTTTGACTGAAATGTTGAAAAACCAAAACACCTAATACCAATGCGATAAACCCGACAGTAATATTGGTACATACTATATGATTCTGCATAAAAATTAGTTACGTTTAAATTACCGCGATCGCTCTCGAGCCACTGTACGTTAAAAAATATTGTTTTTTATCACCACAACTCTGGAGTGGACAAAATATGAATGAAGATCTTTAAATTCTTAAAAATGTTTTAAAATCATCTGTCTCATTGTTTTTGACAGATACTGGGTGCACGTTATGATCAAGTATGGTTCAAGCTGCATAAAGACATGCCAACAGTTGTCGAATTTATGCTTCGTGGATTGTCTGGTTTTCGCATTGGATGGTTTCTCATGATTTTTCTGTTTTCATATCATTGCCCTGACAATTCATTTTCACGTTCTTTGGACTGGGCACAAATCGATAATCATTTAGGATGAATCCCATATAATTTTTACATATTAGTACTTTTCATGCTTACTGAATGCTGTATTGTTTAGTTGACTAAACATAATTTTTGGCCACATTTGTTTTACCGACTCCTTGTCTATTAAGGATTAAATCGAAGAGCAATTCGAAACGTGCTGGTAGCGATAAACGGCTAATTAGGCTTTCACTAGGATTGTTTGTTTTCCGAAAGTCAAAATGTTGTTGTAAAGACATTCAGTTCTTTCTTTGATCATCTACTATTAATTCAAACTTTTGTTTGTCTATCTTAGAACCCACAATTCATTTATTAGGTATGCACTATCCTAACATTTGTTTGTCTTTCAGATTGTTGAACAAACGTTCAACTTACAGTCATTTAGAAGCCGTCAAGATTTCAAATCACCGTGCAGAAAGCATACGCAGTCATGTTCGACACGTTTTGCTTCCTATACTTAAAAATCTTCCCATTCAGGCAAATAAAAACATTAATAGTATTATTATTACCAAAAATGATGAGTGTAAAAATTTTGATAACAATAGTCAAACATTGAGGAATGGTTTTTCTCGTATCGGACGACAGCGATATACTTTGATGGATGATGAAGCGATAATAAAATACTTGTTGGAGAACAATCTATGGAGGTATGAGACATATATTGCTTGACTTCTATTGTTTTGTATAGCCATAGACTGTGAATTTAATCTTTTGGAGTTCATTCATTTTCTCGTTTGAAGTCTTACATTCTGTTAATTCGCCTATTTTTGTTTAGCTAAAGTAAATTGCTATTCAGGACTGAATAACAAAACATTCATTCTGAGATTCAACTATTTCTGAGTGTATCAAAGGCATCTAAAGTCGCCACGATTTACTTGAGGCAGGAATAAGTTCTCAGCTTATATAGCTCGATGGTGTCGCCTCTACAAGAGGGTCTAACCACTGTGTCAAGGTGATAGCTTCTGTCGGATATCCCTTGTTACAGCTATTCTGTCTAGTTATCCCTAGTTTTTATTGTTGTCTAAGATCATTACGTGGTGTAAAGTAAAAAAATAGAGACGCCTAACAATTGGTTCGCTTAAAATTTGGTCATTGTTACGTATATTATGAATACTAACTACTTTTACGTGTAAATTAGTCGTGCAGTATTTTTTATGAATTTATGTTTCTTATAGGTTATATGTGTTTCCTGTTTAAGAAACCTTGAAATCGCGTCCAGTAAGGCATTGAAAAATGCGTCAGGTAAATGAGTCAATTATATTGTGAAGAAATAAAAGAGCGAAAGTATGGGACAGTTAATAGGTAAAGGCGCAAACATAGTATTTTATAAGAGATAGGGTTCAGTCAAAAGAATACGACTAAGTAAGATTTCGTTCTCCTAAACGAGTTATAGTGACTTCTCTTAGCCATGTATGTGAGCGTCTCCAGTATCACAATTGATTTCGGTAATATTGAGAGTTCCAGCCTATTCCAAGTGGGGTGTCGTAGTAAAATCTGCCGGAAATAAAGGGAACCCTTAAACGTCGTAGATAGATTTCTTGCTGAAGCTTAGTACTTCAAAAGTGAACTGCTTACATGCGATAGTAATGAGCGTTTTCGTGGAAAAATTTCGTCAAATAGATGTAATGTTTTGTCTCATAGTTGTTATTTCCATATTCAATATTTCAATTTAGACGGGTTAGAAATCGCGCTTTATGGAAGGAGATGGCTAAGGAAAGTGTAACTAGCCATTCATCAGAATCAATGCGGGCGCGCTTCCGTCACCATCTAATGAATTCGGTGTATGCTCGTTTACTGAAATCACTCACAAAAAGCGAGCAGGTTGAACTTCATGATATTTTCTTTGGAGGATCAAAGAAATATACCAATCCATTGGAGGAAAATAAATATAATGATGGACTCAGTGATGATGGTGTTTGTCACTCATCTTATTCGATTGATGAATGTAGTCTGGACTTGAATAAGTCTAACATGCTTACGACATGTGTGCTTTTCAGTCAATCCCAAGAGAATCACTTAGACAAATCAACGAATAAAGAGACTTCCCCTACAACTGCTCAAGGTGATAAATTTGGGAATGTATTACCAGATCTTAAGAAAAGTAAGAAATTTTTTTTACAGCATTTAGTATCTTTAAAAACAATTATAATCTGTTTCTAAAACGTAAATTAACACAATTCGTACACAAATGCATAGTACAGTCGATTAAAAAAGGAGTAATAAACAAGCCTATCGAATATTAGCAGGGACACGAAATAAATCAATGAAAGGGTTAGTTATGTGTGTATAAAAGGCTGATGCAATTTCGTGATTGGTGGTTGAATAAAAGGGATAATATTGGTAATCACTCTGAGATTAAATGAGTCGTAAGTTGTTGGGATTCAACCCAATATTATTGGTTGATTCACACTTATCGATCAAGGTAAACAGCCTTTGGTGTGCAGCTTGTGAACATCATGGCTTATTTACTCAGCTAATAATCTACTGTTCGGTAGATATTCTAATGAAGTTTCTCCCTCGCTGTCGAGAATTAGAATGTCCACACAAAGTGCTGTCATTCTTTTTTACACGTGTAATGGATAAATACACAAATACATTTGTAGGTATCATTACCAAGTTTTGATTTGATAATTTTGAATAAATTGAGCATTGGGTGGATTGTTATAAATAAATTAATATATTTGTAATATCCCAATGAGTAGAAAAATTAGATTTTCTGACGTTTCGTGACTTAGTGTAAGCCACTTCTTCAGAGAATAAATAACCAAATTAACATTAATCCAAGTTTAAATAGTACAACGGAACAATCCAAGAATATTAGGTGATCAATCAAAAAACAGGTCTGAATAGATCAATGTCATGTCATTTCGTTCAAAGTGATTCATAAGGGATATGTATGTAATTTTGTGTGTATGTATGCATTGTTAATGACGAAAAATGTGTGACCTTTGTAATGACAAAGGATAGAGTTTTATTTGTAATGTAATGGTGTGAGATTGTAGATAATATTAGACTGGTTGACTAGGATAGATAGTCCAAGTGGGATGTATGGTAAGGCCTTCTTTTCTATTGAGGGCAGTGGGATTAAGCATTATATGGAAAGCTTCCGCTACTCTTCTTTCTTTGTGATTGGAAGAACCTTTCTGTAGTATTTTGATGTTTTTGAAATCAATTTGATGATTATTGAAAATGGCATGAACCGCTAATGCCGATTTAATTTGAAGTCTATCTAGTTCTACAGGATTATTAGGAGGTTTCTCTGTGTACCTAATATGTTCTTTGGTGCGAGTCATGATTTCGCGAGATGACTCTCCAATATAGAAGGCATCACAGTCGACACAACCTAATTTGTAGACGCAGTTCTGTGTAGACATGAATGGTATCTTTTCTTTTAATCGAACTAAAGTATTTCGAAGAGTGTTCGTTGTTTTGTAATATACTTTAATTCTGTGTTGTTTTAAGATTCTTTGGAGTTCTTCAGTTGTGCCATGACGGTATGGTAAAACTGCAGTACCAATCCATGGCATTTCATTCGAATTATTGTTATTATTACGTGCTGAATTGTCTTGTTTTAATAAGCTTCTGATAATCTTCATCGGAAAATTATTAAATTGTAAGATGCTAATTATATTCTTTTGTTCTTTTAGTTTGTCCTCTTCTGAAGTGATGATTTTATTGGCTCTTCTAAAAAGATTTAAGGCTAACGAAATTTTAGCACTGAAAGGATGTGCGGAATGGAAGTCGATGTAACGATTAGAGTGTGTAGGCTTTCGGTAGATGGATACATTTAGAGTTCCATTTATATTTCTTTTCACTAAACAATCTAAGAAAGTTAGCTCACCATGTTCATTTTTATTTTCATTCGTGAATTTGTTATGAGATGAAAGTGTATTTATCTGTTTTGAAAATGATCTTAGATGCGTCTTTTTTATCACTACAAATGTATCATCTACATATCTAAGCCAAATTCGTGGTTTAATGTGGTTGGTGAAAATCTTTGATTCTATGTGTGTCATAAAAAGGTTGGCAACAATCGGGGACACAGGGGAACCCATCGCTACACCATTTGTTTGTCTGTATAGCGTTCCATTGAAGGTGAATAGAGTTGAATTTAAGCAAAGTTTTAACGATCTCATGATTAAACTAACGCTTAACGGACATCTGTCCGACAAAGTAGTGTCATTTTCTAGTAAGCCACTAATAAATTCTAAGCAGTTATCAATCGTAATACTAGTATATAAAGATACGACATCAAAGCTTACCATGACTTCATTCTTCTCGATGATTAATTCCGATAGTTTTGATTTAAAGTCATATGTATCTTTAATCATATTATGTATGTCGAACTGTAGTGGCTTTAATATGCTGCTCAGATATTTAGATAAAGCATAAGTCGGTGTGTTGGTAATGTCTACTATCGGTCTTAGAGGAATATTTGGTTTATGAATTTTCGGTAAACCATAAAATCGTGAAGTATTACATGATTTGGGATACAGAGCAAACCAAAGCGAAGCTCCAATGACTGGTTTTAGCTCTTTCAAAAGTTCTCTTGTATCTGATTTGACTTTATTTTTAATCGTTTGAGAATTTAATGGATTGATCCTTTCATATGGTCCTGTTGCAAGATGTTCAAGAGCTTTATTAATGTAGTCTATTCTATTCATAACTACTGTTGTGTTGCCTTTGTCTGCTTTTGTGATTATGATTGTTTTGTCCTTTTTAAGCGAAAGCAGGGCCTTGTATTCTTCTTTTGAGATGTTTGGTGTGAGGCGTTTTTGTTTGGTCAAGATGTGGGACGTCTTTTGACGTAATAAATGCGATTCTTTTTCTGGTAGTTGTGCGATTATTGGCTCTATAATTGGAGCAACTTCAAGAGTACTGAGTGGTTTTCTATGTAAATTGAAATTTAATCCTTTCTCCAGTAGGGTGACTTCATGATTCGTTAAGTTTCTGTCAGACAAAAAAATCTAATTTTTCTACTCATTGGGATATTACAAATATATTAATTTATTTACACAAATACATTTCTTATAAGTAACAGTAGAAACGGATATAAGAAAGTATTTCAAAGTAGGGTCGTCTAGTTTTCATCCAAGGTCTCTACTCAGAAAGACGTATCATGAAATCAAACGAATTCGTGTATAATTTTTGTTCTTGTTTGATTTTTTTGCAGGCTTTAGTTCTTCACTTCACGATCAAATATCTGTTGGTTTGTATGAGAGTCCTAAAAGATTTTGTAATAAATGCCCTCGACCACCAACAATCGTAGCAGCAAACAGAAATGAAGCATCAGAATCAAATGACTTACCAAATGCTTCAACCAGTCTATCGTCACTTAACGAGTCTCTGCTAGAGTTGATACAAGGTACTTCATCCAAAGACTCCAGTTCACCGTCGGTAAGTCTTAGTCTATGTTGAATTTCCTTTGAAATATTGTTTACAACGATTGAATAGTTATCTCTATTTTCTGCAAAAGTTGATTTGTCACTTACTACAAAATTCCAAATGTACGTTTTTAGTGTCTGTTGCATGATTCTATAATGATAATTATGTTAATGAGATGTATAGCATATTTAACCATATATATTCTATCGACTTAACGCCCCCAAATACCCTGGTACGGCCGAGAGTGGGGAGAGTCCGCTCTCCCTCTCGAAATGCTCTCACATGGCCACGCGAATATATAGCCTCTGTCAGGGAAGTCCTATTCACTGCCTTCTCGTGGCGGGGGTGTTGTTTACGAAAGTGAGAGGACGAAAAGCGAATGTCCGGCGCTTTAACCGGGTTGGTGGACACGGAGGGTCCACCTAGGGGAGTTGGAAAACCCTGATTCCAAACCAATGATGCACATGTGCTCCACTATCCTGATGGAACGAATGGCGTATGAACCTATTGTTGGTCACCGGCTACCATGGGACTGCATCTCTTCACGATGCTCCACTGCCTTGTGGATCAGACCTTCATGTCAAAGGCTCGGAGTGTGGCCCCCTAAGAAAACCACCTGCTTCGGTTTGGGCACCTGGGAGGTATCACAGCCTTTACACGAATCAAATGAGATTTGTGAGGCGCATATTTAATTGGTGCTTTTTATACCAATATTTATGTGTTTAAATAAAATAAAAATAAATATCGACTTAACACGTTTAGAACAACGGTATATCACAAGTTTTATGTCGGGTGACGTATATTATATGTGCTAATCTTGAACGACAGGGAGGCAGATAAAAGATCCAGCTATTGTATGCAGCTTTGGAATTCGACAATACACACCTTTGTAGCCCAGTATCTGACTCCGGTTTGATCGTACGAAAATGCTGGGCTATAAAGGTGGTGAGCCTAACGTGATAGCCACATATCCACAAAAATGAACGATAATGATTAGGCTATTGGTGTGATAAATCATTCAGAACATAATAAAGAAGGTCGGTCTTAGCGAAAGATTTATTAGATTTAAAGGCATCCACATACATAATAGGAGACGATATCGAATTGGAAAATGTGTGTGGTATGCTCAAGTAAAAGTGACCTCAGCTACGTAAATGAGTGCAATAATTTATTATTTATTTATTTAAACACATATATATTGGTACAAAAGGGCAACAGATACATATGCGCCACACAAAATAATGAAAGTAGGAAGAGAAGGGATGAAAACATAAGGCGGACTGAAATGTACAACCAGATGACTCTTTCAGTTAAGAAAGTTAGAACCACTCTTTATCTAGAAAGTAAAAGAAGGTTGCAGCAGGATCACCACTGGCTTCTATTCTGAGCCATATCTGATAACGTCTCTAGCCACTGTGTTGCACCATCTCTCGGACCCCAGCCAGGGAGTCGTGAAGGACCAACAGAAGCTAGCCCTTTGCAGCTTTCTTTCATGCTACGACACCATGTCATACATTGACCTCCTCTCCGCTTTTTCCAACCAGTCCCAGAGTCGGCAAATAATGCACGGCGTGGAAGTCTCTGGGACGACATTCGTAAAACATGTCCAAGCCACCGAAGTCGGTGTTTCGAAATAGTGACACCAATTGAATTATCGTCTCTGCGCCCGAACACACGATGCCGGACCTCTGCATTACTAACATGGTGTTGCCACTGGATGTCAGCAATCCTTCGGAGACAACGATGATCGAACACAGAGAGTCGTCTAACATCCTCAACTCGGAGAGGCCAGGTTTCACAAGCATAGAGCAAACCTGCTCTCACCGACGCGTAGTAGATCCGACCTTTTACAGCCAGACTAACATCACGAAGGCGCCAAAGATGGCCCAGATCGGCATAAGCCGCTCTGGCTTTCCTTATACGTGCATCAATCTCATCACTCACGCCCCCACCAGCACTTATATAGCTACCTAGATACACGAACTTCTCAACTACTTCAATCTGCTCACCACCCAGGGTGAGTACAGGATGAGAATCCTGCCAGTCTTGTAGGAGTACTTTGTACTTGGAGGGTGCAAAGCACATACCGTACCTGCGGACACTGATTGCCAACTGATTAAGTGCGGATTGCATGCCTTGGGCATCATCACACAGTAAGACAATATCATCCGCATACTCGAGGTCGAGAAGTCGTTCTCCAGGCAGTAGATCCACACCGCCATTACACACATCCATCAAAGCTGTTTCCAGGATGTCGTCGATGGCAGAGTTGAAGAGGAATGGTGAGATTGGGCAACCCTGCCTAACCCCACTGCTCGAATGGAACAAGGGAGAAAGGTGGTTGTATGCCCTCACTCTGCCTGAGGTGTTCGTATACAGGGCCTTTAAGATGATAATGAACTTCTCAGGCACATCCTTCTTCAATAGACAATCCCAGAGAACAGTCCTGTCCAACGAATCGAAGGCAGCCCTGATATCAAGAAACACTACGATTGTTGGCCTGCGATAAGTATGACGGTGTTCTAACATTTGGCGGAGGGTGAAGATGTGATCAATGCATCCTCGACCAGAACGAAAACCAGCCTGCTCCTCGCGAGTTAATCTTTCTCGGGTTTTAAACAACCTACGAAGAATGACAGAAGCCAATAGTTTAGACGCAATCGGAAGTAGACTTATCCCCCGATAGTTATTGCAGGAACAACGTGAACCCTTTTTAAAGATAGGGACGACTATTGACTCATTCCATGATGTTGGAACACTTTCTTGCTCCCAAACCTTTGCAAACAACACCGTCAGTTCCTTAGCCAGAAAGTCACCACCATCTTTAAAAAGAGCCGGAGGTAAGTCATCTGGGCCAGGTGATTTGTAGTGCTTCAAGAGTTGGAGCTCCTTACGGACTTCCGCCTCGTTTGGTGGATCAGCCATCACCAGCCATGAGGGGCAGGACAAACTGGTCGATGTTGCCGGAGCAGCAGGCCAGTTGAACTGCCCTTCGAAAAATTCCGCCCATCGTCCAAGAGATGTTAGTGATTGGCATCCCGTCATCCTCGTAGATTGTTCCACTCACACCAGACTTCTTGCTGCCAGTGGCTCGGATGAGTTGGAAGAGTTCTCGGCATTTACCAGATGCAGCTGCTGCTTCCATTTCATTAGCACGCTCCAACCACAAGGCTCCTCGGGCCTTACGCAAGCTTTGCCCGATTTCATTACGTAACAGCCTTCGTTTGTGGTCGAACTCACTGTCACCCGGAGTAGACCGACGGGCTTCCATCAGTTGTAAGGAGCCAGAAGAAACCCAGTGCTTGTAAGCAGGACGTTTCGCGAAGCCGCAAGCGGCTTTACTCACCATTTTCATGGCGTCACGAAGTTGCAATTAATGCTCATCTATACTTTTCGGTGGGATGGTAGCTAGCCTAGAGCCTATCTCCGCTCGATACTTAGTTGCAAAAGAAGTTGCAGCCAGTTTACTAATATCGATCCGTTGATGGTGGTCAATCCTTCGGCCACTGAAAAGTAAGGTGAGATTGGCGCAGACCAGGGCATGATCAGACTCCAGATAGGTACTCCAAAAGGGGCGGCAGCCTTGTACACAACCACGCCAGCGGCAGCTGATCGCGATCTGATCAATCTGAGTCCAGGCTTGAGATGCAGAGGGAGGACGCCAGGTGGTAGACCGGCGATGACTGTGCCGGAAGATAGTGCTAGCCAGAAACAGGTTATAGTCCGTGCACAGTCGCAACAAACGGTCCCCGTTATGTCATGCGACCAACAAGTCCCCATCGGCCACCTAAACGACTCTCTGCTGTGCCTAGACACCCGACCTGTGCATTCAAGTCTCCGGCTAATACTACAATATCTGTCGAACGCGCTTCCGGGAGAGGAACAGTTAACTGGTGGTAAAACTCATCCTTGATTGCATCCGGGCTGCAATCTGTCGGGGCATAGGCGGAGATGACGAAAAGACACCGTTTCCTAAGCCGGTTTCTTCTCACTTTGATGGAACTTTCTAATCTAACAGCACATAACCGACTGTTAATGGGAATCCAATCGATTAGTGCTGCCTCAGCCCTAGCGCTTAGTGCAACACCAACGCCTGCAAGATCAGACGAAGATGCCACAGGGTCCCCGGATAAGTGCACGTGAAACAAGCTTTTCGAGGCGACAGATGGAGAGCGAATTTGTAGTACTTCACTAGAGTCTTGGATATGGTTCTCGGATATACAACAAGCGTTCGTGTTAAGACTTTCTAAAGACATAGCCAGCCCTATTGGTTGTCTGATCTGCATTAGTGTGCGAACGTTGAAGGAAGCCAGCTTGAACGGCGTACGTGGTTTCAGAAAGACTGCTTCAGTATTCGTAATCGGTGGAAGCATTCACTTTCAACCAGACAGTGACTGGAGATCGTTTAGATAGGACAGATTTTCCACCATGGGCGAGCTACTGCATAAGTTGGATAGGAAGGATACACAATTTGGGAATAAAGGGAATGAAAAAGCGACGTAGTAAATAATAATAATAATAATAATAATAATAATAATAATAATAGTGTAAATTGTCTTGCTTCTTATATGAGCGAGAATAGTATCGTCAATAGAATTCATCATTTCATTTATTTGTGTGTGGGCTGTGATACTGCCCGGGTGCCCAAACCGAAGCAGGTGGTTTTCTTAGGGGGCCACACTCCGAGCCTTTGACATGAAGGTCTGATCCACAAGGCAGTGGAGCATCGTGAAGAGATGCAGTCCCATGGTAGCCGGTGACCAACAATAGGTTCATACGCCATTCGTTCCATCAGGATAGTGGAGCACATGTGCATCATTGGTTTGGAATCAGGGTTTTCCAACTCCCCTAGGTGGACCCTCCGTGTCCACCAACCCGGTTAAAGCGCCGGACATTCGCTTTTCGTCCTCTCACTTTCGTAAACAACACCCCCGCCACGAGAAGGCAGTGAATAGGACTTCCCTGACAGAGGCTATATATTCGCGTGGCCATGTGAGAGCATTTCGAGAGGGAGAGCGGACTCTCCCCACTCTCGGCCGTACCAGGGCATTTGGGGGCAGTGCAATAATTAGACAAAAATGACACGAAGAAAGGAACGAGCGGACTTGAACTAGAAAAATTTCACGCTTGTATATAGTAAAATGATGGTCTAGTGAGTTTTAAATGTCATGATTTAATGTCAATACGAGCAGCAATAATAATTCCACTTTAGTTATAATGACACTAGTGTAATAATGAGAATATGATAAATAATATGGTCATAATGGAATGATCCGCCAAGTAGATCAATGAGAAGTGTTGATACGAGGACAAAATACCGATAAGATAATGCAATTTGAGCATGTCTTTGTCACTGCTATACTAGCTTCTCGGAATGCGTTGGATTAGAGATTGAGTCGTTTGAGTTGCTTGTCAACTAGGTTAGCTACTTAGTTCATCAATCGATGCAGTTATCATTTTACGGCTTGATTATTCCTACAAACAGAAACTCCATCCCATGTAAATGCAACTTACTGACGCTGTTTACTCTACTGCGGCTTACCAGAACATGTCCATATTTTTAAATAAATTAATATATTTGTAATGTCCCAATGAGTAGAAAAATTAAACTTTCTGACGTTTTATTATTCAGTGTAAGCCACTTCTTCAGAGAACAAATAACTAAATAAAAATTAATTCGTCTTCCTATTCTTTATTCTTATATTCTATCGGCACCACGGATCAGTTTTCGTTGCATTCTACTCCACTTATTCTCAAGATTTGTTCCTCTGTCAAGCCCATAAACGATTTATTACTGTTTTTACGGTGTTTTGAATCGTTTATACGATAGTGTTATTTTATCGTCCAGACAGTCACATATAAGTGAATGTTATTTTTTGTACGTTTGCTAATTTGCTCATAATCGCATGCTGACACTCAGTTTTTACCGTGACTATATGATATCCATGTATGCTTTTTATATAAGCATGCCACTTTCGTATTTTGCACTCACTCCTCACGTGACACTGTACTCTATCAGAAATATTACAAATTATTTCCGCAACATATTGTTAACGTTATGCACATTCCCCTTCAGCGCTACTTTCGAAAACAGTCATTTTTTTCAAATTAATGTGCTATTTTCTACAGGGTGCTTTGTTGTGTCTGTACTACTATCCAGCGAATAATTTAATCCAGTTTTATAAGTCATTTAAGAAATACTGGAAGTGAATGGACACATACATATTTGCATAAAATGTGACCCAAGTTACATGCGAGTGATTGATAGAGTCAAACATATGGTTGACAGAATAAGTGGGAAGAGTAGAATAATTCATCTGTTGATGGGTTAGAATAAATCACCTTGACGTCTAACAGTATTAATTACTGCATATTTACATTGACCAGTTTACCACACCATGTACCATGCATCAGTAGGACAGCGATTTAAAGTTATGGCATTGGAACGTAAGTTAATCGCATAAAATGTGCTTTTCGGGAGTGTTATAAATTTCAATGTTCAGTTGTTCAGATAATACTTAGCTTACTTTACGTCATAGATACGATAGATTGTTAGCGTACAAATATGAAGGTTATTGTAGGTTTAAAATTAGTTTTATAAAGACCAGTTTTAACAGAATATTTTGTCAGCACTTTTGCCTAGCCTTTTTCTTATGCAATATTTCTTTACCTATCCAGTCTCTTACTTCTCTTGTCTATAGATTAGTCAAGGCTTTTGCCTTATATTGTTCTCATGGTTTATATCGGTGGTTATATTGTACATTTGAATGTCTTTGTTTTTACAACGAATAACCGTATAATTCCTTTTTGCTTTTAGAATTTATCACTGATGACTTCGGATTCATCACCTTCATTTGACCCAATGAATTATCCTGTATGGGTGTCAAAGTTGATAAATTGCACTAGATATATAACAACGCCTTTACAGGCTATATTGCTTGTCTATATGACAAATGGTTCCGTTGCAGAAGCGTACAACTTTTTGACTACCGGAAAACGTCGTCCATCATCAATAACGAATTTTAGTCCGCCTCTTTGGTTACCTGATGATGATGAATGTTTAGGTTCAACTGATCAAAACAAGCTTGATGAGCTTGTCAATCGTTTTGGTTGGATAGAAATAGTTGAACGTGTTGGCTTTTTACAAAATAAAAACAATACTTATACTTCTGATAGCATTAAAAAGAAAATAGAATCTCAAATATTTCCTACATAGTTACCGTCTCCTTCATTTCATAAAGCACTGTTGTTAATATTTTATAATACTGTTCAATTTATATTGTCGCGTGTTTAAACAAGATTTTTTATGTTTATTTTTTGTATACATTTTATCTAAAAAATTTAATTGTTAACTTTTATTTTAACTTGTTAACTTTATTTATCGTTGGTTAAAATCTCTGTAAAAAAACGTCTTTTTTATTTATCTGTGTGTATGTGTTTGTTCATTATCAAGTTGATTAATCTTCGAACGAGTAATTCAGTGGAGTGCTTATTATTATTAGTTTTGAAGTGCAGAACTTTACTTCACTATAGTATCGTTAGATGATAGGATTCCTTTGGAGGATCAATTACTGGAAGGTCAGCTTGTCATATTATAAAATAAACAATCTAATCGCACACTATTTACAGGTGATTTATCGTATGGTGGAATTTCATGAAAATGAAATACTTTATGTTAGAAAACATCTAAAGAACAAACAGGTTACTAAGGTATATCTCTATGTTTCATATTTAAGTATTCTTATTGCATCGTTTTTAAGTCCAACTTTGTTATGGATTAAGAACAATAAATTCACCGTAACTTAATTCATTACCATGGTGTATAGTGCCGCTATATATATCAAGGAAGCAAATCGTCTTACAAACAGGAATTATAGTTGAATTTGTAAGAAACTGTTAGTCTCAATAATATTCGTCCCAGTAACTTATGACTTTCACACCAGGTACTGCATTTATTGAGCTAGTTCCATCTGATCTCTTGATAATCACAGTAATAATTTTCTTTTCGTCGAAATCATTCAATTAAGCTATACATTAGTATTTATAGTTGTATGGCAAATATATGTCTACAGAAAGATAGAAAAGACTGCATTATAAATTGGTTCGAGACCTTAAATATCAAGAGAGAATTAGTAATAATCAGACGATTATAGAAGAATAAAAGAAATGCAAAAGTCACTACTTTATACAGGTGCACTTGATCATCTCTAGACAAACCACTCTAGAGTAGTCTTTCTTCAAAATAATCTACACCACCAAATGAAGTTGGTCGAAGCGAGGATCAGTCAAAATGTTTGCATTGGTGATTCATCAGTTCAAGCCCGAACTGTGCGTGCAAAAACGACACGTCTAACCGCTCATCCTTCCTTGAACCCAATTTCGTTCTGTAGTATGTTTTGGTCTTGCTTTTTTTCTAGAAAAATTATTGTTTTGTAAATTTAGACCTCAATCAATTATTACTAGCCTCTGGGGTTTTTTCGTGATTGCTGCTCAGTTATTTTGATTTAGATTATGAATTGACCGATGTTAGACCACCATCGAAAATCTGGAAGCACTGGACGGCCGTTCCTTCCTAGTATGGGACTCCCCAACAGTGTGCACCCATGATCCCGCATGCAGGATTCGAACCCAAGACCTTCGGTCTCGCGCGTGAATGCTTAACTTCTAGATCACAGAGTTGACATCCAACGGTGTTAATATCTAACTTCAACCAATCCAACATCGATCGATTCATGATCTTAATCAAAAAACTTAACAATCTCCACAACACCGTGCTGATAATCAGTTATTAATATGACCTTTAGGTTTTTCATTTCTTTTCATTTATCAAACAGACAATTATTTCTCATAATTCTAACCTGCAGATTATTTTCATCCTTCTATTTTTCTCTAATCGTCTGATTATTACTAATTCTCTCTTGATATTTAAGGTCTCGAACCAATTTATAATGCAGTCTTTTCTATCTTTCTGTAGACATATATTTGCCATACAACTGTAAATACTAATGTATAGCTTAATTGAATGATTTCGACGAAAAGAAAATTTTCCTCATTGATTTCTTATTTTTATACAATGACAATGGATTATTTTAATCATATTGATCTTAAGAGGCTTGCTGAGGATTTTTCTTCAGCTCAAGCTGTAAAGAAAGATGGTCGAATTATGTAATTTTAGGAAAATTGTTAGTGTTTTTACTTACTGTGAAAATTTTTCGGATAAATAATTTTTTTACGAAGTTCATCGGTTACTTTCGGTGGTGTTCTTGAGCTCACTGCATTCACGTTTTTTCGCCAAACCTCCTTGAGAATTTTTTTTCTCTTTTCGTTAATTCTACAGATATTTCATGCATAACGATCCACTGACTCCTGTCCCTTCAGAACGACTTCTTGGACCTGGGTACGGACAAGGTGTATGGCCTTTGCGTGAACGTTTAGCGCTTGCTACTGCTCTTTTAGATGTAGATAACCAGCAAGGAAGTTGGGCTGCCACTAGTCGTCGTATGATGTGTTTTTCCAGGCCAGGTCGACCATCTACATGGTGTTCATCTAAAGCTTGTGCCAAACAATATGCTCTGCTTCTGGATTCCATTGAGTTAGTTAAACGCCAAAAGATGCCTGGAAGTGATTCACAGTCAAGCCAGTTGAGTTTAGCTGAACGCGTTGTGAAGCGTTTGAGTGCTGAACGTGCAGAAGAGTTGAGATCGCGAATACGATGTGGTCAGCGTTACTACAGGTGGGCTGTGTTCCACTCATACATTTCAAATTAATGTTTTATCCGTAGCAATCTTATCACCTTTCAGTTCTTACCTAGTAAAATTCAATTACATATTCAAATTTTTCTTCGAAACAGATATTATGTTATCTATGTTACGCTTATCCTGTACACTTTAAGTGGGTCAATCTAGTCAAGACACATCAGTACATAAATTCGATTTGCTTATTCCAATTATTTCAGCTTGAATATATGATCAACATCATTAAGTCTTAGATGTTTGTCACATTTTTATATAGAAAGTTGATTGGACTTAGACGACACTTCATTTTCTTTGTTGTATCGGTTTATGCGATCTGTAAGATTTCATTTTATGGTAGTCATATGAGACTGATAAAAATTTCGTTCTGTAGAGTGAAATTTTCCTAAATTTTTTGATCCGTTAACGTTTGTCTCATACACCTTTTTTTCAAGTTCGTTAAAAAGCATCATATCCGATGTGGAATCTGGAATGTATGACAATCAGTTGACAAATTTATTAAATGTAATGAACTCGATCTCAGATTTTAAAATGCAACCAGAAATTCTTGACGGTGAGTTTGTCCAAACAGCCGCATCTCCAAATAATGATCTTTCTCATCAACAGACTTTTGCTGAAAATGATGCAAGCAGTGAACTACAGTCTAAACAACTTAATCAATGTTCCAACAAATTAACTACAGAAAATAATCCTGTTAATAATAAACAAAGTCTTGTTGAACTTTGGAAAGAGATTCAGGAATTTTATCGTATTCCTGATTCAACATGGTATTGTGCTCCTGGTCCAATAAATAATCGAAATTTTACAGGAGGATATGGCAGTGTCACGAGTAGATCTCGTCCGTCTGGTGTAGGCTCGCTTAATTTTTCCCGTTTATCAACTTTATTGGCAGAAGCATCTTCTCCAGCTCTAAAGCCTGCTACACAGTTCAGAAATTCGACGAACAAATCTTCAAGTTATAAATCTAGTTCGCATGAAATTAGTCACACAACAGCTGTATCTCGTGCCGCTGAAGCAGCTAAACAAAGATATTTATCGAAGACAAGCAAGCACAAATTATCATCTGCTACAAGCCAGCCCAGTCGAATTAATAAATCTAGTAAGAAAGACAGTAAATTGAAACATTGGCCTAAAAAAATTTCACGCAATAATAAATATGATTATGTTACTACATCCTCTTGCACTTCTAAAGAAGATCATGTAAATCAAGGTAAGCCTGTTGCTTATGTGCTTAATTGATGCAATCACAAAAAGTTTATTATAATTGTTTATCGATCATTTGAGCTCATATTGAAACAATATTTAATGTTTGTGCTCCCAATAACCTCTGGTTATTCAGCTTTAGTTTTCATACCTGGATGTTCCATAGTCAAGCTTCAAAAATTTCTTATATTCTTGAGATTATTCATCGTTTTCTTAATACTCAAAATAAGTGCGGTATCCAGAATTTTTAGATATTTTTCTATTTAATTGGTGGGTGAGTGTTGCATTTATGAGTATAATTTTCATGAGAAATTTGATTTTGAACATATGATGTTATCCGTATTTGTTTGCTAAGGACATGAACATGTCAGTGTAGTACATCCTAATTTGCCGGTCAAGACAGACAAGTCTAGTGAAAATTAGGTGTTAGAATAAAATCTCTAAGAAAAATTACATGTCAGATTGTACCATTCACTAAATGAATGGAAAAATGGCAGAAAATGATGGGTACTACACACTTATTGGCCATTAAAAAAACGGACGGATAACTTTGTACTACATTATTGTATTTTATATTGCTATTGATAAAAATTTGTTTTAGTTTTTCATGACCTTCAAACAAGATGTACTTCTAAACAATGTCATTAGGTCAGTGAGTCCAACTTTAGCAATGATTAAAGAAAATTAAAAGACTGTTGGCTTGAAATCATGTTAATTAGTAATAGTGTAAATCTCATTACCAGAAATAATATATATCAGTTAGTTGCTATTGCTTTAAAACACGTGTTCAACCAACCCACGTATATTGATGTAACTAATAAGCGTTTGCAAATTTCGGACACAAGTTTATTTATTTGTTTAAATCACATAAAAATTTCGGTTTAAATAACCAACTAAAAAACGTGCTGCATAAACTGGGATGACAATTTTGGAGAAAAAGAGAAGAGGAAACATTGATCCAATCAGTGAATAAAGGAACAGGAATTATTTATTTTAAAGTAGATAGTATTCCATCTTCCCCATTGCGAAAGTGATGAGAAGAAATACATCTTGCAGGTTTAATATTTAAAACATTTGAGGGTATCCATGGGGCACGTTGGTTCATTGCCGTCTGTCTAATGGTAGGCCTGCTTACACAATGGTTGTAATGTCCGTCTCGTGCGACCTTTGAACGAAAAGTGTCCTTGTATCCTCCCCTACGATGAGTAGGGTAAAGCATGGTTTCGGAAAGTATATTCTTGTTCGGCAAGGCCATTGTAAT